AGATACATATATATATATATATGTATTATAATTTTGTATAATTTATAATATCTATAAGCGCGATGATAAATAAAATGTTAACATTGTATGGCCCAAATATTATTCGTTTTTGTTAATAAATCTAGGTAAGTAAGTACATTATATTCGATATTAATATTACTATTTAGAAGGATGTTTTTAAATATGGAGTATGTATATTGAAAAATGAAGTAATATTAAAAATCAAATATAATTGACAAAAATGATTTTATATCTCTGACGTATTGTTCTAAAAGAACATTCCTTTTATTGTATTAAAGATAATCTAGTACAAGAGAGGGGACAGTAATAACTTGACAAAAGTTAATGCATGTTATTAAATCTAATAACCAAGTTATTATGTAGACAGACTGGAAGTGGTGAATACACCACTACTATTATGATAACATAAAAAAGTAGCCACAAATTTCAAATAATACAACTTCTTATATTATTAATTATCTCATGTACCACAATATCCTGTGGTTAATATATACTAGGATAATTAATACGAGTATCCAATTGACTTTATAATTGGTTTAATATTTCTTTTAAAAATATTTGTAAGCATATTTTATAGAATTATCTTAATCATTTATTTCCTGAAAAATATTATTAATAATCAAATTTTACTGTTATTTTTATTTTATTTACCAATTATAAAGTCTCAAAGAAAAAAAAAGAGAATACGAATTAAGTGTAATGAAAATCAATAGTGTTCGAAAGAAATGCAAGAAAAGAATAAAATCCAATAAAAGGTGGATATTAAAATATGTAACATTTCAAAGAAATATCACAAGCAGAATGAATTTTTACGTTGATATGGAAAATTGAAAATTTAACATCATTTTAAGTTTATATAATTATTTCTTAAATTTATATCCACGGGATAATATGGTACATTGTCTAGATCGTTTCAATTTTCACAACAAAAAAGTCATACTTTAGAATATTATTAATTACATCTTATTAGGTACATCTAAGATTCCCTTATTTGTTGGATTAGGTACATTCTTATTAGGTACATCTATAATTGTTGCTTTTTTATTTGGAGTTTCAGTTCTAATTTTTTTTCCATTTATTATAGCTTTTATCTCATCAGAATCTAATATTTCATATTCGATTAAAGCATCTGCTAATTGTTTATGTTCTTTAGCATGCAATTTCAATATGTTCTTAGCGCGTTCATATGATTCCTATAAAATATATAACGAATAATATATATTTTATCAATTTTTAATACACTTATAGAAAATCATAATTGTGTTTATACTCACTTGTAAAAGTCTTTTAACTTCGTTATCAAGCATTTCGTTGGTACTGGGAGCATAATTAAAATTCTTTTGAAAATCGTACATCCTCACCCCAACTTTATCAGACATTCCGTACGTTTGTACCATAGTTTCTGCTATTTTTGTAGCATTCTAGAAAAATATATAATTATTAGTGAAATGTGAATAAAATATAATGTGTAAATGTTAATATAAATGTTATGTACTTGAAAATCTGAAGCTGCTCCTGTAGTAATTTTGTCAGGACCAAAAATTAATTCCTCAGCTGCACGTCCTCCCATTAAACAATCCATTCTAGCCAGTAGATGCGATTTGGTTGTAAGGTAATTATCTTTTTCAGGAATATATGAAGTCTACAATACATAAAAAGTATAATAATATATATCATATGTATTATTAATCATTATTAATAAGATGCGATTAAATATAAAATAAAGTTTATATATTACATGTCCTAAAGACGGTCCTCGTGGAATAATTGTTACTTTGTGAAGTGGATCTGCTTCTTTCGTATATAATCCGACTAATGCATGACCAGCTTCATGATATGCTGTAATACGATTAGTTTCTTCGTCAGGAATTTTAGATTTTCCTTCTGGACCCATAAGAACTTTATCTCTCGCATACTCCAGATGTTTCATAGTTACATAATCTGAATTAAGTATTGCTGCTTGTAAAGCAGCTTGATTAACCTGTTGCAAATATAAGAGGTCATCAAAGAATCAGATTGGAATTATAAATGCATTTGCATAGTAATAAATAATCTTTAAATATATATATATATATATAAATAACAATGTGTGGTTATAAAAACTAACAAATCATTCTAGATACCATATTCTCTATATCTGCTCCAGTGAAACCAGTTGTGCCTCTTGCTAAATAGTCTACGTCAATATCACGAGTCATAATTTTTGCTAAATATAATTCTAAGATTTCCTTTCGTCCTGTATAATCTGGTATTCGAACATTAACTTCTACATCGAAACGACCAGGTCTCAATAATGCTTTGTCTAAATCATCTCTTCTATTTGTAGCACCTAATACAATGACTCCTTCGTTTCGATGAAATCTGCAAATTTTTACAAAATTATATTAGTTCGTGTTTTATAAAATTATTAAAAGAAAAAGAAAACCCCCAAAATTAATAGGAAATTTACCCATCCATCTCTGAAAGTAACTGATTAATAGTTTGATTTGCATATGGATGAAGGACAGAAGGTGTTCTTGTTGCACCAATAGAATCAATTTCATCGATAAAGATCACGCATGGTGCTTTTTCTTTAGCTGTTTCTGCAAAGGATATGATAAATGAAAAAACTTTGTTATCAAGATATTATATATATAGATATTATTTAAAAATAGTATTTGTTTTTAATCGTTAACACATACTGAACAGATCTCTCACTCTACGTGCACCTTGTCCTACTAAAATTTCATCAAATTCGGGTCCTGCTGCATGGAAAAATGGTACGCCAGCTTCGCCAGCTACTGCACGTGCTAATATCGTTTTTCCAGTTCCCGGTTGACCTACCAATAATACACCTTTTGGTAATTTTGCACCCAATGAAGTAAACCTATCGGGATCTCTAAGAAATTCCACTATATCTTTCAATTCTTGCTTAGCTTCTTCAACCTGCACATTTAAAAGGGAAATAATTGTGATTGATATAGTAAAAACTAATTAAAAGTGACATTAATCGATAGTTTCTTTTTTCTTTTTATTTTTTTATTTTATAAATAACGTTGCAATTACTCACTCCTTTGATGTCATCGAAAGTGAAATGAATTTCTTCTGGGTCAATTTCACTTTTGTTACTAAATGAAAATCTAAATACACTTCCCAGGTTGATAACTATGTGAAATTAATATAATAAAATATATTAATACGTTTTTAAAAGAAGTTTGAGAAAGTATAATCTATTATGCATACAAGGGAAGCATATGATGAGCACCAACAATGCTATTGTCAACCAATTAATGAATTTTAACCATCCCTTGCGATTCTTAACTTTTGCTTGTAAACCTAAAGCATATCCTTCCGCAAACGCAACTTTGGATTTTTTTGTTTCACCAGTAATTTCGTTCATATTTGCAAAAATCCTGTTCATAAATTCTATATCTTGTGGTTTGAGATCGCTAGGAAACGACGTCTTATGTGATTCCTAAATAAATTAAATTAATATATTCATTACAGTAATTCTGAAAAAAAAAATAATGAATAATATATAAATAATATATCATATATATATACCGAGGCTAAACCAAACGAATCAAACCATTCCTTCATCCTAGTGAATACAGACGGATTTCTTTTATACGTTACTTTTATGTCACGTTCTGTTTTAAAAGAACGTATTTGTACATTACAATTTGACGGTATTATATTCCATACATTATGAAATGGTTTATATTGTTTTTTAAATGATAAATATATTGCTGGTAAAATCATAGATTGTGTAAGTTCCGAACATGGAAATTTTCTTTTATTTTCAGTAAAATTAGTTCCTGATGTATATGACACGTTCCATTTGGAATCTATTCTTAAAGATTTTTTGGATGTTTTAAGAAAAATATTATCCAATATTAACCATAAGTTATCATTTTTTGTTCCGCATATATTTGCTATATTGTTGACATTTAATTTGAGAACTGGCAAATGTTTACAATTTTTTGCTACCTATAAATATATAAAAATTTATAAATATATAATATACCAATATAGATGATTACTACTATTTTGAACGACGGTAAAAATATAACAATATGTTTAGAATATTACCTCGACAAAACTGTCTAAACAAAGATCTTCATTCCTATGAATAAGTTTGCTTTTTTTTTCTTCTTTTGCTACGAATGGTACAAATCTGGGATTAATGCTCGATGTTAACTGTGTCAGATGGAACAGCACCTATACAAATTGTATATTTAAAAAATCTCATATATTTCATTGTATTTAAATGTATTCCAAATATCATAGAATTTGTATATACATGCTGTATAAAAAAGTTAGTAAACAAAGATAATTTTTAAAACGGTAATCATTTAAAAAAAAAAAATAATCAAAAACATTTTTTTTTATAAATAAAAAACAAACATTTAAAAAGATAGGTTATAGCATAAAAAACATATGAATGACATCTACAATGAACAGTATTGTTTCCAATAATTTAAGGTTAACTTTATAAGATATTTGTTTTTATATTTTTTTAATGAGATACACGAAAGAAAAAGAGAAAAAAAAGAAAAACAAACAAGCAAATAATTATAAGATAATAAATTAGAAAAAAAAAAGTTTGCATCATTCGAATGAAAGATACAAACCTGATTATGTGACTGAAGAGTGATCATTTCAAATTACGTTTCTTCTTCAGTAGGCGTAATAATAATATACACTATAATTTGTATACTTTACGTAAACGATTAAAAAAAACCAGATTAATTTTATAATGAAATATTAATTTAATTGGTAAATGATAATAGACGTGTATAAAATCGTGCTATGTCAAGTGAACTGAAAAAGATCATGGCTTCGTCTGATGATAGGAGGACAACGGAAATGATCTATAGGTTAAATTTCCGTGCAATTTCAAAATAAACTTTTTTAAATGATCGATTATGCACTTTTATTTTTATTGCGTATAATTATTCTGTGAATTTGATTTATTAACTTTTCAATGTTAAAACGACGAAAAAGAGGTTGACAGGTGAGGGGGTGCGAAACGTCAGACGAAGTTAACAATTTCTCGATCGAGATTTTTCGATAGTTGGAAAACAACGATAAATCGCAATATACCCGCGTTTCTTTCTCACTCTCTCTCTCTCTCTCGTTTTTTTAATTTTTGTTATGTTGTGCGTATAAACATTATTATATAAATAAAACTATTTGTTTCTAATTATAAATATTCAATTCTATTCTATTTTTATTTATATACTACGATATATACTACTACTACATTTGAATCTTCGGTGATTCGTCTATTTAAAATTAGGCGCTCAAATTTAACCAATAATATTTTAATTTTTGAATTTTAAATATATCGCGCGCTTTGATTAATTATTAAAAAATAATGTTTAATTATTTATTATATTTATAAGAGAAATATTCGTATCAATATGTGTAAAGTCTTAAAATATAATATATAAAATATAAAAGGAACGAAAGAAATTTTATAATTAAATTACGAATTTGAAACCAATTCTTTTATATCCCACGCTAGTTGATCAATTGTCCACCAGGTTACATTACACGCGTGATGAGGTTAACGTGACATAACGTTGGATGTTTTGGACGCGTTTATGTTATTTTTTAATACTTATCGTGTTATTAATTGTTTAGTTAATTGTAATTATGCAACATTATTTATTTATCAATAGTATATATAGTTTTTTACATTCCTATAATTTTGATTTATAGTTAAAATATAATTAGTGGGTTAGAAACATTTAATCCTTCATTAAAAAATGGAATTGCTTTATACTGTTAATAGAAAAGCATTATCTAAATCATTCTCTAATCAAGAAAGGTATATTTCATCTATCTAAATTATCAATTATTAATAATTATATCTATTTATATAAACATTTTAATAAAATTTTAATTTGATTTTAATTTTTAGTCTTTATAATGGACAATCATTGTGTACATTGTCTTGTCGTAATATTGCTGCATTTACGACAGTTACAGAATTAGATGATAACAATGGTAAAACTTGGGGTTCTCATGTTTACGTTGTTGATTTAAATATGCCTTGGCATGTTCATAAGTAAGTTAGATAAAAATCAAAATGCATTCCATGATAAATATTACATTGTATATTATTCACTCTAATTGTTTTCTCTTTTTTTTAAGAGTGTTGTCCAGTAAGCATTCAATTACAGCATTAGAATGGGACTTACCGGGTGACAAACTTGTGGTTGCTAATTCAATTGGAAATGTTCAATTGTGGATGTTCAAAGACCACGTTCTTAATGATTGGACACTAATAGGTTGTACTTGTTTTGTTGGCGAATACATATTAGGCGCAGCTTGGTTTCACAATGGAAAAAAGGTTTGAGACTTAATAAATAATATAAATTATCAAGAATATAGTCCCACATGCGTTTATTATATTTTACAATTTTTTAAATAATTTTTGTAGACTGGTTTAGTAGCTGAAAAGAAAGATAGTATTCATTACAGCGAAAAGTTCAATCATTTACCCTTCGCTCCTTCTGTAAGACAATTTGGAGGTAGAGCAGCTGAAGGTGTATTAGTAGTTTCGACAACAGGAATGGTCGGTGCTGTAATGATTACAAAAGATTTTCAAAATCCTATATGTTCCTCTACCGAAAGCTTAGGCAGTACTCGGCATAGAATAACATCCGTTGATCTTTGTTATGGGAAAAGTATGTATATTTATTGTAATCTTTTTCTAACAATATTAAATTATTTAGATAATTGTACAATTTATAAAAAAAAACCGTTTATTATTACAGATGGGCATTTTTTGGTAGCTGTTAGCAGTGGCAGTATTTGTTTACCAATTAGATGTTATAGAGTATTAGTACGTAAAACTGATGAGAAATGTACAATTACGTCACAGGCATTACCAAGCTTTTTTTTACAAGATGGAGCACCTAAAGATAATACTTGTAAGATTAATATATTGAAATCTTTTGATTATATAATCTCTATATGAATTAATTAGTAATAATATTATACTTTTAGGTACGAATGTTACTCATCTTAAGTTTGTTGTAAGAGAAGATGCAGATTCCTTAGTAGTTGCAGCAAATAGTGAAAATGGTGGTTTTGTAGAAGTCTGGGAATTAAGGGAGAAGTCACAACCAGTTCATAAGTTATTTCAACCAAAGACTTTGGAACCATTTAAAACGGTGGTACATAGATACATTTATTCCAATGATTATAGTTATATAAACAATAATAACAAATTAAAATATTAAATATTTTTTATAGGTTTGGCAACATCAGTCACAATATCGCTGTCAATCACCGGTTACAGCAATAACTACTACCAAATTGCCTATCGTTACAACTTTACCTCCACCGAGTTATGTTATAGTTGCATTAGCAGATTCTTCAATTCATTGTTTCAATCGTGATTGTTTGAAGGAAGTATCATATTCATCATTAAATATGGCATGGAGACAAGATGAACCTAGTAATAAATATTTCAAAAGTTCAACATCCTTAGCTCACATGGATATTTCATGGCTTGGATGTGTTCTCTTAGCATGCGATACTTATGGGAGTTTATATTTATATAAACTTTTACATGACGGAGGTATGTTTTCAATATTCTTTATTTAAAAATTAATTTTTACAAATATATTATATGATTATAATTTGTATTGTAATATTTATGCTTATAGGACCATCATTAACAATCAATTATGCTTGTACATTATTGGAATATTGTTTAGTTACTGGTTTAGATTGGTTGGATGTACTTTTGTGTTTAAGAGCCTCGATGATAGAAACATTGTGTGAACGATTAGATGCTTCTTATACGAGACAAACACAACCCATACAACAGTATCTTTATGTGCAATTTCTCTCTATTAAAACATCCTTGTATAGGTATATTATATTAACTTATATTATTAAATACCTATTTTAACATCTTTATAGAAGTATATTATATATATATATATATTAAATTATAAAATATATCAATTTTTTCAACATAGAGTATGATAGAAAAACAAATTAATTCTATCAATATTTGTCTATAGAATGATAGTATCTGGTCAAAACAAAGCTGCTGATTTATCTTCTTTACTTATGGTACATTCGGTGGCAACAGCTTTCAAATCATTGTTAAGGCCATCGGATTTAATATCTCATGATAAAGGACCTGCTGAAAGTTTGGCTGCAGTAATTACAGAACCTATTAGTGATGTCGATAAAGTATGTTTTCTTATTATGTTATAAATTTTATATAACTTTTTAATTAATAAAATAATATATTCTCTCTATTGTGTTTTATATATATAGGTACTTCTACATCTTGATCCAAAAGAATTTACGGTTGAACCAAGCACCCTGCAATCTTTACAACAATTAATTCAATGGGTTGCAGATTTAGCGCTAAATCTTTTAGCTCGACTTCCTGAACAACGAATGCAAATGAAAAGTGGTGGTGTTAGTATATTTATCTATATTTATCTTTGTTATTTATTTAAAAAAAATTTTCTCATTTCTACATAGTACAATTTTTGTTGTTATATTTTATTTTTAATGCAGTATGAATTACTCAAAGATCATAAGGCACTTAACACAATAAGAGAATTACTGGTCATCATACGGATTTGGGGTCTTCTTCGTCCATTATGTTTGCCAGTTTTTCTACGCAGTGCTGATAATCTCGATGTTTTGGCATTATTATTTCGATTATTGTCCAAACTTGTACAACCTAATGGTGAAACGCAACAACAAATAGATGACGGTTTGATAGGTAAGTTTTATTTCATATAAATTGTTTGATTTTAATTATATGAAGAAATTGTATTAGATATTTTGCTTATTTATATATAGTTATAGTTAAGAGAATATTTTATATATATATAAGTTGCTGCATTATTTTTTATCAAGTATATATTAACCCGTAGGAAGTAAGATAAAGATACCACTTCCTGACTCATTTATATGTAACCTAAAGGAAAGTTTCTTGATTCAGTGCATATAAATTCAAGTGATCGTTTAATACGTATAAATATTAACTAAAAATATTTTCATATAATTGTTATAATAAAACAGTGTGATTTATTTGTGAGCTACTAGTAATTAAATTTTAATATACATAGATAATTGTATTAAAAAGAAAGTATATATGATGACCAACAAACTTGCTTTCAAACACAAAAATTCAATGGCACTAAATGAACATAAAATGACATCGAGAGAAAACGAAAGATCTAAAATTGTTCGCTTATGTTTAAAACCATTTGGAATATCATCATTTGTAATAATTATGTGTTGCATATTTATAGGATTTTGGTTTATCACGTGCCCATTGATATGGGCGTTGTGTTACTCATCATCCGTTCCATATCATTGGCCTAAATTCTGGTCTATTCTATTTTGGATAGTAGCGTTAATTATTTGGATTTTTATTGTAACATTGTTCTTATGTATTTGGAAATATATAAAAAATAAACACCATACCAATATAAAGAGAAAATCGTACGGTTCAGATGGAACAGATAATCATACACATTTAATATGTGAAAATATTCGATCAATGGTAGATGTGGATAAAAAAAATGATAAAACAGTTATTGATATTGATTCATCGTCAATAGATATAAAAGATCCTGATAAGAAAAATATTAATGATTCCAAAGTAATCGGTGGTATTATTCGAAAAAATTCTAAAAGAAAAAATGATCTTCCACCTTTGGTAATTCACAGAAGGTCAAGAAACAACATAGACAATATAAGTCCAAATGCTATAGAAAAAAATGACGATAACGAATTAAAAATGGACGATATTGGAGAGACTGACGTTGATAAAAATTCTATAAAAGATTATTTGAAATTAGTTACTGTTACTCCATCCGAAGAAGATAAAAATATCGTATCATTACCAAAAACACCATTGTCTCCGAGAGATTTATTTTTTATTGATATGTTACGAGAGGCAGAGAAAGCTGAGAAAAATAAAGCAAATAATAAAGGAGATTTGAGCAAGAGGCATTCAATATTTTTCCCAGAAAATTTAATACAATCTACGATTGATTCTTTTAACAGTAAACCAAATAATTCTGATGATGATAAAGATAATAAAAAAGATGATAAAGAAAGTGATGAAAAAAAAGTTCAGAGAGAATCTAAATACTTTATTGCCGAAATAGAAAGTCCGAAATATGAAATAACTGAAGTATTTATAGAAGTTAATAAAACTGTAGAATCTGATAGCAAAAAAGAAAGTTTAGATCTTTGTACAGTTAAAATGAATGAGAACAACTCGGCACCACCCGTATTAGAAATTAAATCTACCGAGAAGGATGATGTAAAAGAAAATAGAAATATGTAAAATGTAGATTAACAATTATTTTTAGTTTTAGTTTTGTTTTTTTTTTTTTTTATAAACGATATTAAATTTATTTGAATTATTTAGAATATAATAAGCGTAAAAAGAATATAAATAAAAGTATACAAATATAGTGATTACAGGAGTGGTATATTTATCGATAATTTTGGATTGTAAATAAGTAAATAATATTGATTTAATAGATATAAATAAGTTAGAATTAATAGTATTATGTCAATGGTTTGTTTTATTTCAGATGATTGTTGTTTGTTACCAAATCAAATAATGATACCTCAGTTACATCAAGGCAGTAGTATTACTGCTTTAACATCGCCAGCAGTTTTTTATCAAAATCTTCCTTTGCAAGTAATTAAAAATTAACTTTTCTTCTTTTATTTATATATAATACATATAAGTTTATAAATGAAAGTGGTCTAATTTTGTAAGTCATCTGTTGTTTCAAGATATTTAAAGGATTACATTTGAATACTAAATGAATATGAAATAATGTTGAAATAACAAGTACTATTTAACAATATAGGATTATTTGAATTTATATTATTTTATAATTATATTGAATTAACTTAATTTAAAATAATTTCACGTGGAATTATTGATAAACTCATTTTTTTTTTCCTCATTTTAACTTAGACCACTTTCATAATTATGAGCAAATATATACACATGTATATATTTTTGTATAAATATTAAAATAATTCTATTATGTGTGTTGAATTTAGTTAGAATATGGCATAGAACCTGAACAATTACTATTTACACCTGAATTAAATCCAGTGGAAGGATGTATGCATAGCGGACAAGTAGTAGACACCATTCGACATTTATATCTTGGAAAACAACCGCTTCTTGTTAAGCAGTGTACAAGGTATTTTGTAAAAAGTTGCATATGCAATTTATACGTATGCAATTAATATGTATACAATATAAAAGTATGTATATATATATGTATCTATAAAATATATATATGTATTTGTAATAATATATATATTTTTAGATGCGGTGGTAAAGTTCAAGTTCAAAATATGACAAGAACAGCTGCTATCAGAGCATGGGATCAAAGATGGACACGTGCTTGCAGATGTGGAGGATTTTGGAGAATTCACAAAACTTGTGTGTAGATATTTATAAGAATCAAATAGTTTTTAAAAATGTTTTTCTTGTAATATAGTAGTTGCATTAAGGTTTTCTATTGTATATTCCATTTCAAATTAGAATACATTTTTATATTTTAATTGTTACGCCAAAAAATATACATCAACGTATATATACACAGTTTTAATTATAATTCTTATAAATCATATATAGACAATTTTGAAAATATTATTTACTATATGATTTAATTGAGCAATTTCTATGTTGATTTTATTTTCTTTTTTTTTTTTTTTTTTTACAAATACAATATATAAATACAACAAAATGCATAAATTTTCGTATTTTTCAGTATAGGCTGACCATGGCCCAAATATGATTACATTAAAATGAAACAAATAAAGTACGCATACTGATGTAAGTTATAGTTTTATTTTTTTATTATTACGAACAATTGTGTCTTTCACAAATAGCAAGATAGAATCCTTGGAAATATATTTCAAAGCAATTTAATATTGTTGAGAATATGGATAAGAGAGATTATACCTTGGTATTAGGTTTATATATCTCAGTAGGATATCTTATACAGTATTTTAAACAATATGTATAGGAAACTAAATAAAAAATATAATACACGAAACTTGTTCTCATATCAACGTAACGTAAATTGTAATATGCAATTTTAAATTGAAGATTTAACATTTATTATCTGTACGTAGCCATGGTCAATTATTATTTTAGAGTACAATTCTTTTGAATTCACTTGTTTCCAACATACTTTAATGACTTTCTCCTTTTCTACCAGTTACTCTTTTGAATTCACCCATATTGGTTGTTGAAATTGGTGATCCAAATATAATCAATTGATCGATTCTAGTAGTATCAGTTCCAGCTTGATTATTTTTTATAAATATTTGAAGATTTTGTACATTTTGGAATTTCACGTAACGCAAGGGAATTGGATTTCCTTCTTCGATATCTTTTGGCAATAATCTGTAAACAAATTTCATACATATTTATGTATATGCATAAATAATAATAATATATAAATATATATACATATATATATATATATAATAAATGAAAAATATACTTACGTAAGATCTTGGACACTAGTATTGGAGTCTGCCATATCAAAATCTATAGTTCTAGGTTGATTGATAAAAAGTTTCACATATTTTGGCCCCGAATCTGTTGGTGCTTTGATTTTTAAGGAATGTACTTTAACAGCTTGAGTAAAAGTAATAGATAATATTAATTGTTCATCACAATCGCTCTCTAGATATCCATCATCAGTTGTTAAGCATTGAACAAAGTTGTGGTCATCTGATTCATTTAAACATTCGCATTGCGTTTTAGCAATGAATGTATTTAAATCCATCTGCAAAGTAAAGACATTTTACCAAATTATTTATCAAAGGGACTGTATAATAAAAAGAAATTAATAATTGACATAATATTATTTGAAATGAAGCTTTTATTACATTTATTTTGTGTAATTAGAGAATAACTTTAATTACACATTGTTAAAAAAAAAACTTGTACAATATGTTACTACATAAAATTCATTTAATTTCTTTTAAATGTTCGTTTAAAGTAAAAATAAAATCAAATAAAATCAAATAAAATAAAAACAAGATAGATAAAAAAAAAATAATATGTAGTATTAGAATAATACATGGAATGTTTAATATCGAATGTAAGATTCATGGAAGGCTAGAGAAATCATCAACGCTTGCCACTTATCAAAACTATATTTGTTTCGAAAGCCAATAAATGCCTTGACAATTAAATGTTAAAATTCACTGAAAGAAAGTTACCGCAACTTTCTTATTGGTTTGGTTGATACTTATTCCAGTATAAAAGAATTGCAGCAAGTAATATCATTCCAAATATATGATAATAGGCATTATCACTACTTCGTACATGTCCAGTAACTGAACTCTCTGATTCTTCGGTATCACCATTTCCATAATATTGTTGTATTTTTGATTCAAGTCCAGCTGGATCCGCTCCTTGGCAGGAACCCAATTTAGTTCGGTTGCGATAGAAAATGAAAGTGGGCATTACACTGACACCTTGGGAAGCTGCAACTTCTGCGCATTTGTCTACGTCTACTTTGAGAAATACAGCATTAGGATATTTCGTAGAATATTGTTCAAATACCGGTGCAATTCTTTGGCATGGTCCACACCTACGAATAATAACATCAATCTATACACATTTATGATTACATTTATCATGATAAAAATATTTGTATATTTTTTTTTTTTCTAAATAAATTTCATACTTTCATGATATTTTGATATTAGTCACATGGGTTGATAAAACTTCAAATGCAATCAATTTTTTTAGATTGTTTTGTATGTTATCAATGTATGTATTGTTATAATTAAGGTATTGTCGTAATTAGTAAAAACAAAAATAAAAAATAAAAAAACAGTTCAATATTTGGTAATACGTGGAATTAACGCGAAAAAAAACTATAACCTTTAGAAAACTTACCACGTAGCTGTATAATCTACAACGACCAATTTCGTACCCGCATCAGTCAATTGGCTATAAAATTGACTTTCATTGTTGATCACACGTACAGATCCCATTTTATTTTTTAATTATATTTTATTTCCTTTTAAATAGTTTTTTTTCTATAACATTAAGTACGACGTGAAACACAAAAGAATGGGCTTGAATTATCGAATGACTGGCAGATTCAGGATCTTCTTATTACACCGATTCTCTGTTAAGGTGGATCCACTAACGCCACTTTATATTTCAAGAAGAAAGAGTTAAATGCGGTTAAATTAAAAAATGTTCATGTTATCATTCGAATCATTCCAATGGTAATATAGAGACAAATCTGTTTTATCGGTTATCGATAATTCAACTTTCAATATTATCAAAAGTGAATAATTTTCTACTTTACCGACTAGACAAAACTGACACGTCGGTATATTACAGAAATAAAATGTTACATATATACATACGCGTATAATTATATATATGTAATTATACAAACAATTTATATAAATCAACATATTTGTGATTTGATTTAAATCGTTCTTCAATTATTTTTATTTGCAATCAATCGTGTAAGGAAATTTGTTTTCAGAAAATTTGGTCCCTAAATAAATTTGACACCTTGGACAACTGTGTACGGTATCTTTAAAGTTGAGAGAATAATACGGCAAAACGCACATACTGTTTGAAATGAAGACAAATTTAGAGGGAGGTGTATATTGTTACTATACGTATTATAATAATTTATGAATATATCTTACCACACTGGTAGTAAAGTAATAGCTATCAAATGTGTCACACAAGTATTGTAATGTTTTACATTGGTTTCAATGTAATACAAACAATTTGGACACGTTGTTTTCGTTGAAAATTTATCAAACTTAGTATGTTCTATAAAAATACATATATATTTTAAAAGATCAGGATAAATTTAAACAAGTGTTTGTACAAACGATTCTTACCCCACATTGATCGAGGTTTTTTAATACGTTTACTGCGATATTTCGGTTTAGGATAATTCAAAACTCTTTGTAATAATTTCCTAATACTAACTCTTCTTTTTTTTTCCAGCTGAAATTCCGAGGATGACAAATCCGCATAAAAGGACATCCTATGGCGATTAAGGTTATTCGAGAATACATCTGGAAAATGTAAAAAAAAAATGTAAAAATCAATGAATCATCATCATGATTAATTCATCATTAATTCTAATAACAATCCGATTCAAAAAAGTTTCAATATTTAGTTCTAAATTAATTTTAAAGCTAGTGGTAATCATCATTTTTTACTAAGTCAAATGTTGTTACAAAACACTTCCATTTGTTGCATTTCATTTAATTTCTACAATTTCAGGAAAACCGTATTGTATTGTTTACCACGTTAACTGCACTGAGAGAAAGCGAAGCTTAAGGCAACATTGGGCCCCCGTGTGTTCATAAAACGATGTGAATATGTTATACACTCGAGTATGTTCACATGGTAAAGTCAGTATCATGTTGTTTATCTTCAAAAGCGAAACTTTGTCGTTTTCCTTGTCTATTAATTAATATTTATTCTATTTTCTCTCTCTCTCTCTCTCTCTCTCTCTCTCTCTCTCTCTCTCTATTTCTCCTTAACTTCTTTTTTTACTTATTTTATTCTTAACAATGATTTCTATATGAAACATTTTACTCACGTAAAACTCGACGTTCAGATGTAGATTGGATTTCATTTTCTTTCATTATATCTTCTTTTTGTTGTTGTTGTTGTTGTTTAAGAAATTGTTTACTCGACAAAAGTTATGAGGGGATTTGATTTAACCTCGTTGAGACAAAAAGAAAATATCATAGAAAAATTAGGAACAAAAAAGTAACTAGAAAGAAAACAAAGAAAAACGAATAAAGGGTCTCCTTGTTTTGCTCCTTTTTTTTTACAGCTGATTAAAAAAGAGAAAAAAAGAGAAAGAAATAAGACAAGACAAGACAAGAATAGAAATTGATTGATTGATTGATTAGTTTGTTTCAGTTCCGAGTAATTATTTAATCAGTAAAAGTGGACACTACCAGGGGACAACTGAACAAATTAATTTTTCTTTAAGGGGCACACCTAGTGTGACCGCCTAAAAAAAAAAGGTGATTTTTAGAAATTTTTCTAAAGAAAATTACTGGATGAAATATTTTAAAATTTAGAGGATATATTTATACACAATTAACGAATATTCACTAAAATTTTCAAATGAAAAAAAGTAATTTTCAGCGAGTTATTCGCTATCTCTCAAGTCACTATAAAAAAAAGGGCCTAAACGGCTACAGTGATTCCGGCCTTCATTGTGGATGAAATAAACAAAAAAAAAAAATACTATTAATCTAGAAGGTATTGCCTATACAATGACCTAAAATTGTGAAAAAAAATTAAAATTTAACAAAATGGCAGACTTTTTAAAAAAAAAAATCGAACTTTGCTCAAAATTTTGATGATTTTTGGCCCGCCAAAATTACATTTTTTATACAAWYGWAAAACTTTTAGGTCATTGTACAGAGAAACATATACGAAATAAGCAGAAAAAAAATCAAAGCGATCGGATGATTCTTCTTCGAGTTACAATTGCAGCCAATTTGAAAAAAATAGTTTTGAGAAAAACCCGTTCAAAGATAAAATGATTGCTTTCTAATCTCTGACCGGCTACTCTTTAGAAAACTGAAACTCTAAAACTATTAGAAATATTTATTAGAAATTTCAGTATGTTATTTTTAAAGATATAGACTATCAAAACATGCACACACATAAAAAATCAATTGTTTTCAAAATTTCACACTAGGTGTGCCCCTTAAGATTTCCTTGACATATTGTTCTTGCAAAGATCAAAAAAAGTAAAACAAAGAACATAAAAGTAAAAGAAAAAATGTTGGAAAAAACCACCACCACCACCACCACCACCACCACTACCACCAATGGGGGATGAGAGCGATTAACGAAACTCATGAAACACGGAAACTGTAGCGAACTAGTTGGAGTAGATATCGAGTAGATATGTACGTGGATGGTGATGGGGTTAAAGGAGCTGAGAGGAAGATGGAGAGACCTGAAGAAGTGAAGAGAAGAGAAGGGAAGGGTAGAGAATAGAATAGAAGAGAATAGAAGAGAATAGAAGAGAAGAGAAGCATTGTCTGGGGAACGTGAACACTATTTGCTAGCAAAGTAGATTAGGTTGGTATTGATAGAGAAAGAGAGTGTGTGAGAGAGAGATGGTGAGAGTGAGAGGAAGAGAAGGAAGTAAAGGTAAAGGTAGGAAGGAAGGAAGGAAGGAAGGAAGGATGTGTATAGGTAAATGTGTTAGTGTATATAGATGTATGCGTAAAAGAGAAAGAGAGAGAGAGAGAATAGTTGTGTTCAGTACGAGAGAAGGGCCAATAAAGAGAGAGAGAGAGGAGACCAGGAGAGATGGGATATAGCAATAGAGTTTCGCTTACGAGACATATAACCGCGTTAGACGATGCTCTTTGTTGTATCAGTGCGCAATTGCCTTAAGTTCTGATCTTGTCCGATATTGATGTTCGAGAGGCCAGGGCAACCCCGATGGGCTACTAAGAGTTCTATTCTCTCCTTTCCTATCGCTTCTCGATCGAGTCCAACCACTTTAGGATCTTCAGGAAGGCCGTTTCCCTTCTCTCTTTTTCTATACATTTCATTCTCTTTAACCTTTACTTTTCTTTTTCTTTTTTTTTCTTTTTATCTACCAACGAAATTTTTTCCCCTCAAAATTCAATTGGACTTTGACGAGATTTTCGGATATACAGAAAGAGAGAGAGAGAGGGTCTTAGAAAATAAAATCCTAGAAAAGTAAGAAAAATGATCGAGTATTTGTGTTATACGTTGATTTAATTAATCTGTGGATTATTAATTGATTTTGATTTGATTTGATTTGATAAGCGGAATCGAAAGTTTTTTTGTATTTTATTTAGGTATTATTATGTACATTTAATTGTTTTCTTTATCGTTAAAGTATCGTTTAAGAAAATGTTTCTTACTGTTTTGAAGTATCTTTACGTCGAACTGTAATAAAATAATTTTTTGATATCTTCGGTAGAGTTTTAGAAAATGTGACTGCAAATCTAAATATATCAGAAATAGATATGTTTGTCGTAAAAGTAATTCAAAGTGTAAGCCAATTTTTAGATTTATGCATAATAAGTAAGGATAATTATATTATCATATACGTTTTGCAAAATTGATTTATTTAATCGTAATAATATTTGAAACGGTTTGATTCTATTATAGTTTTTTTGTTTTTTTAATCGATCGATGATTGATTTTATTAAATTATTTGCCGATCGTTTGATTCTTTAGATATCGATAAATAAATAAATAAATAACATTGCGTTAATTTAAGCGTAAAGAAACAATGCTTTTGTTTCTAGCAAAGATCTTATTTTTACTTTAACTAGTACCTGCTAGGAAATGTCCAGATTATCTATGCAATTTGAGAAATGAAACAATTTTCGATACTTTAACGGATAATCCTAATTAATTTACATATTACCTAGATAATCTGAGGAATAACTGATTTCTGCACTTCAGCGTTAGCATATATATATATAAAGAGAAAAAAAAAGAAGAAAATGGTTGAACATCAGATATACGGATAATACGAATACCGTTGCAATGATAGTTAATTAAACTTACTATTATATCTCGAATATTCCAATTTAGTTTTCAGAATCAATTTTTCAAATCTTACAATAAGATATATTCAACTATCAGGGATAAAAGTTAAGATGTATGAATTTAAAAAAATAAAATACAAAATAAAAGAAGGGAAAAAAACCAGAATATAAAACAAGTGAGAGAGAGAGAGAGAGAGAGAGAAGAATGACTTTGAAAAAAGTGTAGGTGAGAGTGTACACAAGGATGAGTCACGTAACTCGTTAAAAATAAATCTTCAAAAAATATATGGTAAACCAAAAAAAAAAAAAGAAAAATAAAATTCATAAAAATCAAATATACGTTATCTGTAAGATCATTATTTTCGTAGTAGTGTCGCCATTAATATTGGATTTTTATTTTTGGTAATAAAAAATCAGTAATATTATCAATGTAACGAATCACCATCTTGGTTCATTCTGTATACATGTATATATATTATATATATTATAATCCCGATGAGCTACTGCCCATCTATTTATCTATATTAAGAAATCTAGATTATCTATAGATTGCAATGCTATAAATTGTACAACTTTGCTAATTCTTTGAAAAGTTTTGGTAAATATTTTTTATGCTAA